AAAATGAGTATGAACTGTTGAATTGAAAACAAATTTGTGTAAACTTTCACCCAAATTACAATTAAAAAAAAAAAAAAAAGATGTCACTGGAAAGTTATTTTCCCTAGGAGAGATGATGAGGGTGAGGGCTGGGGATGATATGGGCAGCAGTGAGGTGAGGGTCCCCCTGAGAGAGAAGAGACTGCAGGGAAATCCACTCCTGCTTTCTTTGTTAGACATTTTGAAGTTTTGGAATTTGTTTTCTAACAGATGAAATTTCCTCAATTCCTTACCATTCCTGTGCCTCTAGGGTAACTGCTTTTCCTCTCTGTAATTTCATCTTAAGAACATGTGTTAGACTGGGTTCTCTAGAGAAACAAAACCAGTAAAGCTTATATATATAAAGAGAGAGAAATTTATCTTAGGAAAATGGCTCACACACTTAGAGAAGATGTTAAGTCCAAAGTTCTTGGATCAAACATCAAGCTGGAGGCTTTAACCAACTCTTGCAGCTGCAGGAGCTCAAGATTGGGAGGCAGTGTACTAGCTGTTGACTCCAATGAACGATGAATCCACGATCTCCAGGCTGAATGGTGGATTGTTTGCTCACAGACAGTTGTAGACAGCACAACAGAATCCCGATCCACAGAAGAGTGTCTCTTTTCCCAGGATGTCCATAAACATACTGGAAGCAGGCCACAGTCCTAGGGAAACTCCCTTTTAATGGATTGGCTGCTCAGAACATATCCATCTGATCCCATCATGGGAATAACCACATCACAACTGCTTAAACCACACATATGAATTTTCTTTGCCTGGTGGGGTGACCCAAACCTTCATTGCTGAAGGCTCTGGGTCGTTAGCAGTCATATCAGAATTGGGCTGCTGTAATTGTCTGTTGACTTTAATCACGGCATGGTAGTACTAAGAGACGTCCGAAAGGATCTCCTGTATTCCAGACATATTCTTCTTTACCTCCATTATTTAAAGTCAATCCAATTTACCTTTGGTAATCAGGATCTTTCACACTAAATAGTACAGTAATGCCCTTCTCTGTTGATCCAGAGGCATGAGGAAGCCAAAATGGCCTCGTGGCATTCTTAACTTCCAGTTCAATGCAACCTACGCCAAGAACGGGACCCCAAGGTTGAGGGGCTTTCACCCAGCCCTTAGAGCCTGCCACTTGAACTTGGACTTAAAGCCAACAAATTGTAAGAATAAACTCTCCTGTTTGTTAAGACCATCCCATTTGTGGTATATTCTTGTCAGAGCAGCACTAGGTAGCCAGAACAGAACATACTCTATTCTGCCACTCAGATGAGTGGAATGTGATTTTTGACAAATTCTTGGGCTAGATAGTTACTGACCTAACTGAAGACTAAGTAAAGCAACAAATACCAGAAATACTTAGATGCAGTGGAAGGCAGAAAAAAATGTAGGCATTGGGGCTGTAAATATCTTGGCTAGTACAATGAATTGTGGCTGTCTAAAGACTAGGAGCTCTGGTAGCATAGTGCCTAAGGCACTTGA